AAGTTTTCATCTGTACTAAATATGTACAGACATTTTTATTATCATTATTCCCTTAACAACACAGTATGACAATTATTGACATAGCATTTACATTGTATTAGGTATTATGAGCAACATGGAGATGGTTTAAAATATACTGCAGGCTGTGCCAAAGTTATATACACGAACAGTATGCAATTTTTTTGAGGGACTTGCACATCTGCAGATTTGATAAGGGAGAAGGGTCCTGAAGCCAGTTTCACCCATATTCTAAGGGACAACTGTCCAAGCATCTTAATTCCTACACTTGAATCTCTGGTTCATACCCCTCCCCTGAGCTACAGACTTACATATGCAACTATCTAGATTGAGGGGTAGACCATGTCCCTTGTTTAACTCACTGTGTAAGCTAAGGTCTTTGGTAATAAGCCATTAATGTCTGGCACCCTCCTGTAACTATTACTATATATTCCCTTTTGGACTGTATTCAAATGAAACATAGTTTTCCTATCTCTTCTCTTTATTTGATTTAGGAAAGCAAGCTGAAAGAAACAATGCATGACAATATAGCCTGAATGTTATTTGGCTTATTTTATCAACGAGTTTCTGTCTTATTTATTTATTTATTTATTTTTGTGCACCTTGGATCAAACTCAGATCTGGAACTCCACTGCTGTTATTCTGTCAGATCCAAGATCTTGTGTGTGTTTTGTTGTTGTTGTTGTTTGTTTGTTTGTTTGTTTTTGCAGCGGAGGGGATTGAACCCAGGACCTTGAATGTGCTAGGCAATTGCTCTACCACTGAGCCACATCTGTGCCCCTGAAACATAGTTTTACATAATTTCAATCATAGTGCACAGATCACTTAAAATTGGCTTTTAAACTTTGTTTTGTTTTCTTTTGGATATTGGATTGAATTCAGGGTGAACTCAGATGCACTCAACCTCTGAGCCACATCTCCAGCCCTATTTTATATTTTCTTTAGAGGCAGGGTATTTGCTTAGGGCCTCGATAAGTTGCTAAAGCTGGCTTTGAACTTGTGATCCTCCTATCTCAGTCTCCCAAGCCACTGGGATTACAGTATTTTTATGATTAGAAATAATTCATACTTATTATAGAAAAATAAGGGGGGGGGGTAATGAAAGCAATCATTATACGATATTACCACTCCACAGAGATACTGTTAACATTTTGGTTTTATTTTGGGTACTAGAGGTTGAACCCAGTGCCTTGTACATGACAGGCAAGGGCTCTGTCACTCAACTACACCCCTCCAGCCCCGTTTTTTTTTAAATTTTTGAATTGAGATGGGTGTCACTAAGTTTATACTCACACTGGCCTTGAACTTTAGATCCTCCTCCTGTGTAGCTGGGATTGCAGGCATGTGCCATGATGCCTGGTTGTGTATTTCTTTTTAGTCAAATATCTATATAAAATTTAATACTGAGATTAATATTATACTATTTAAAATTTGTAGCTTTTTACTCTTAATGACCCTTTAACATTTCCTCATCTTTTAAAATACCTTTTGTAACATTTAATGGCATCAGTCTGCCATTCAGATGCACCACATAATCATTTTAAACTGTTCCCAATTTTTCAAGGTTAATGGATGCTTCTAGAAATGCCATATTTACTTGAGAGAGATGCCTGATTCAAAATAATATCATACTATGAGTTCAGGTGGAAGAAGGACAAGTTATTGATGTCATTATTTTTTTGTGGCCTTCTGTTTTTTTTCCTCTTCAAATTTTGCAATTAGGCAAGTCTGCTCATTACATCATCACAGAGGAAAAATAAAATCTGAGCTACATGAATTTTACCCAATTTGGAGATTATATATTGATCTAAAACTAAAAACATAGCTTACATAATGTATATAAAACATTTTGGAGACAGAAGTGTTATTCAGATAGGCCTTCTGAATCAGCCAATGTAGTGCAAAAGATCCTGTGATTGTGGATAAAGAAAACAATGGTTTCTAATAGGAGTGCCAAACAGAAAGGGTAGATACTTTGAGTTTTAGGTATGGAAAATTGTAAGGGGGGGGGGGGGCGTATAGGAAAATAAGTCTCCCAAGCAACCTTAATGAGGCAGTTATAACTGATTCCTGGCTTATGATCATTCATAATAATTTATTTTCTAGAAATAATTTTCTCTATTATTAAAACAAAATCAAAAGGTTAAACTGTAATCATCGTTAGAATTTTGAGTCATTTCTTTCCAGTTTTTACTTTAAGAATAGGTTTGTTGGGTTGAGGTCAAACCTGGGACCTTGAGCTAGGTGCAGTGGCACCGTCCTGTAATCCCAGCAGTTTGGGAGGCTGGGCAGGATCACCAATTCAAAGCCAGCCTCAGCAACTTAGTAAGAGCCTAAGTAACTCAGTGAGATCCTGTCTCTAAATGAAATATAAAAAAAGGCTGGAGTTGTGGCTCAGTGGTTAAAGCACCCCTGGGTTCAAACCCCAGTAACAAAAACAAAACAAAAAAGAAACAAACAAACAAAAACAAAAACCCCTGGGATCTCACATATGCTTGGCAAGTGCTATACCACTGAGCTACATCCCCAGCTCTAATTTAAGTCTTGTAATCATATTATATAATTGTGTATTATATGCTGTTTTTATCATAGGAAAATGCTAGCTGCCTATAGTACTTAACTCATGGTAAACACACACTATTTACTAAAGAATGAAACATTGATGTGTTTTTATGTGACCTTTTGAATGGCTCTTCAAGTGATTATACCCTAATTAATTAATCCCTTACCCTTGTTTTGGATATTAGGTTGTTTCTAAATTTTCCTGTCTTAATACATTGAGCCTGGTCCCAGCAGGAGGTTTACTTGAGCCCAGGAGTTTAAAGCCAGCCAGGGTAATAGAGACTATCTCAAAAAAAAAAAAAAAGAAAAAGTTTTCTTAGGACATTTTCAGAAATGATGATGGTGAAATTACTTATTAGAAATCTTGTTTGAGAAGGGCAGAAGCACAGTTAAGAAACATTTTGGCCAATCTTGCTGGGGACTTACAGGGTAAATCTAACTTTGGTGCTCAGAAGTCTCTTGTTTCCTAGTGCTCTTCTTTACTTCCTTCGGGCAGACTCTTGCCATCTGCTGGTAAAGATGAGCACTGGCAGTTTTTTTGAGTTTATAATTTTAAAAATTTGAAGATGACTGTCAACTGATTTCTTGTATTGATCCCCAAACCAGTTAATTACTTAAGACAGGACAGGAGACAGTTGGAATACCTTTATTGACTAAGCCTGTGTCTTATGCCCACAATTTGGGTTCAGTAAGCTTCAGCAAATCACATGGATTGACCAGATTATTTTAGAATGTAGGGAGGGTGGCTCTCCCAAGGAAAGGACCTTGGATAGACAGGAAAGGGATATTTCCTATAAATGTTTCATTAAATGTTACTATTTAATTATAAATTATTTTTGTTACGTAATTTTTATTTATATGTGTGGTATTGGGCAACAAATTCAGAGCCTCTGCATGCTAGACAAGTGCTGTACCACTGAGCAACACCCCTAGACCTATCATTCTTTTAAAGAAGGGAGTGGAAAAGTGGAATAACTTTTTATCTCTTTTTAAAAAATTTTTTTTGTATGGGAGATTAAACACAATGGCACTTAACTGATGAGCCACATTTAAGCCATTGTTTGTACTTTATTTAGAGACATTGATTGTACTTTATTTATGAGTTGCTTAGGGCCTTCCTAAGTTGCCAAGGCTGGCTTTGAACTCAAGATCCTCCTGCCTCAGCCTCCCGAGCCTCTGGGATTATAGGCATGCGTCACTGTGCCTTGCATCTATTATTATTGGTAGCCATTGTTTAGTGATTTCTAAAAGTTTATTCTAGGGGCTGGGGATGTGGCTCAAGCAGTAGCGCGCTCGCCTGGCATGTGTGCGGCCGGGGTTCGATCCTCAGTACCACATACAAACAAAGATGTTGTATCGCTGAAAACTAAAAATAAATATTAAAAATTCTCTCTTTAAAAAAAAAAGTTTATTCTAGCCTTAGTAATGTTTATTTTACTTACCTTTAGCCAACATTGGATATTGTTATGTTTTAAATATTGTGCTAATTTTCTGTAACTATATTTGAGATAGCTCCTTGTGTTCCCATTTGACAGATTTACCATAGTTTGTCAAGCTATTTTTTTAAATGATTATTTATTTATGGGTTTTTGTTTGTTTTTGCAGTGCTGGGGCTCAAACCCAGGGCCTCCTGTGTGTCAGGCAAGTGCTGTGCCACTGAGCCACATCCCCAGCCCCATGATTTATAATTCTTTTTTTTTTTGGTACCAGGGATTGAACTCAGGGGCACTAGACCACTGAGCCATACACCCAGCCCTATTTTGTATTTATTTAGAGACAGTGTCTCATTGAGTTGCTTAGTGCCTCGCTGTTGCTGTAGCTGAATTTTGAACCTGTAATTCTCCTATATCAGCCTTCCTCCCAAGCCACTGAGATTACAGGTCTTTTATTTTTTTAACTTTCATAGATAATAATACTGTAAATGTTTTATGCCCATGGGTTTTTGCCTCTAGTTGAATTTTTTCTTTGGAAAAAATTTCAAGAGTAAAAATATAAATATATTTACGCCTTTGCTTTCAAAGAATTTTACCAACTTATATTTCTGCCAGTATTTTTGCTGTTATTTTATCACATATTTACTAACATTGAGCAGTGTTTTTTTGTTGTTGTGGTTGTTTGTTTATTAATTTGTTTTGTTGCTGGAGATTAGACCCAGGGCCTAGCCCATCATGTTAAGTAAGCGCCTGCACTACCATTAAGCGGTATCCCTGGCCAAGCAGTATTTTAAAGAATGTTTGCTGGTTAATTAGGTATTAAATGCGATCTAAAATTATTTCGTAGTTGTAAATAAACTTACATTTTTCAATGAAAATTTTCATTTTCCCCTTGCATTCCTCTACCTCTGTTTTCTTCCCCAGTCATTTAGAATATAAATATCAGAAATGCCATCTGATTTATTTTAATTTTCCTTCTTGTGCCAGGTCTGGTCCATCGAACTCACATGTCCTCTTGTCGGGTGGACAAGCCTTCTGAGATAGTAGATGTTGGAGACAAAGTGTGGGTGAAACTGATTGGTCGAGAGGTAAGGTTCTGTGGATAGAAGGGGTTAGGAAAAGCTGATGTTTTCTTGAAACTTTATGACAGTGAAAATGTTGTTAATTGTGGCTGATTATCTTATTTTAAATCCTATCTGTCTTGAATTTAAATCAGTTTTCCTATCCTGCAAATCCAGAGGGAATGAAGTGAACTATGAGAAAGAGTGTTGTAATAAATGTGTGTTTAAAAAGCTGTCCTTCTGTGTGCTGGAAAAGAAGAAAAGGGAAAAATAACAAGAAAAGAGAAGGAAACTTAAAATTTATGGGTTAGGTCTTTATCACAAATATCAAAGAGTACCTGCCAGGTATATTTCAGTTGGGCCACAACAAAGGACAGAGGGTGTTTATAACCATTTTTCCTAATATCTGGCTTCATGCAATACAGGAGAAGTGAGAACGATCTCATGTACCCTGTTCATAATAACTCATTGAAGGGCATGAGGGCTGTGGGTATAGGCACACCACAGGAGATAAATGAACATGCGTACATCGTGCTCTTCTACTAGGGAATGACAAGGGAGATGGGCCTGAAAAAGCCTCTTATTCAACAATAATGCTTAATGTGTGCTAGGTTTGGGAGACACAAAGATTGAACCAGATATAAATGATTCTAGCTTCTGTAAGCCTTATATAGAATATAAGTGGAAGGCACAATTTTTAAAAAGGAAACATACAAGGTGGGTGTGGGGGTGCAGCCTGAAATTTCAGCAACTCAGGAGGCTGAGGCAAGAGGATCTCAAGTTCCAGGCTATTCTTAGCAACCTAGCAAGACCCTGTCTCAAAATAAGAAATAAAAAAGCACTGGGGATGTGGCTCAGTGGTAGAGCACCCCTGGATTCAATGTCTGATATTCCCCAAAAAAGAGAGAGAAAGAAAGTAAAGTATCACAAATATTGTATTGTGTTCAAACAATATTGAAAGTAGATTTAAATAAAGTTGTCAGGAAAAGGCTCTCTGAAGAAATGGTGCATGAGCTGAGACCCAAAGGAAAAGGAACCAGTCACTTGAAGAACTGGCAAAAGAACATTCCAGGCAGAGAAAATAGCTTATGCAAAGATGCTGAAGTAAAACAAGATGTTATGTGAGCTGCAGGAAGCAAAAGAAGACCAATGTGACTAACAAGTGTCCTGCTTAAAGAAGCCCTAAACCAAGTCCAGAAGGAATGTTCTAAAATAAGAACTTCTTTCAGCTTTTTTTTTCTGTCTGGTGACCTCCCCTGGCCATGCATTTCTGAGCAACCTTTTGTGTCTTTCCCCCAGAGGGACAGGAGTAAGAGAAAGACCATTTCCTACAACTCTTCTGCCATAGTGTCTCCTCTTATGCTTCTTTGTACTTTCAGTGTTCCTAGCTCGGTACCTTGTTCATGAAAGGGTCTTGGTGTTTGTTAGGGTGGTTAAAGCTTTAATTCTTCGTTAATTTTAGATTGGCAGTCTAAATTATGTTCTTAGAGTTTTTGGTGACTCTTCTTTTGTCTTTTTCAGATGAAAAATGATAGGATAAAAGTATCCCTCTCCATGAAAGTTGTCAACCAAGGGACTGGGAAAGACCTCGATCCCAACAATGTTATCATTGAGTAGGTAAAAGGTTTGGAAAGGCTAAAATCCTACCTCCCAAAGCACAGAAAACTGTAGCAAATCAGACTGAACTGGGAACTCTACCATTTATAGACTTTGTGATGTCAAAAAGTTATGTAACCTTTATGATCTTTGGTTTTTAGAGGTAAAAAGTGTAAATAGCACTTTATTGCATAGAAATCTGAGATGAAAGGCTAACACAAATCTCATAATGTAGGAGTGCTCCATATGTGGTTTTGTTTCTTTCCTCTGTTTTTTTTTTTTTTTTTTTTTGGCTACTGGGGATTGAACCCAGAGGTGCTTTACCACTGAGTTGCTTAGGGCCTTGCCAAGTTGCTGAGGCTGGCTTTGAACCCGAGATCCTCCTGCCTCAGTTTCCCTGGGCATTATGATTATAGGTGTATGCCACTGTGCCTGGCTGCTTACTTCCTCTTAATATCTTTCTGCTTTTCCCTTGTCTAATGAGCATTCACAAAGTACTGTTATTTGCCTCTCTCCTAGCAGTTTCTTCACTGGGGTCAAAGAAGAGCATTGACCAGGTGACAGAATAGAGTGATCTAGGAGCAAATCCATTGGGATTTAGACTCCTACATCTTCTGAACACAGCACCTTACTTTCATTGGTTCTTCTGACTTATATTTAAAAATGGAAGATTTTTCCTATCAATCCAGGATAATGTCTGGTGATATGGGAAATTTGTTGTTTTAAATTCTTTTTAGAATTTCTAACTAGGGGTTCTTGAATCCCTAGGTTCCCTTGAGGGATATTAGGGGATTTTTTTTTTTTTTTTTTTTTCCAGTATTTCAGAAAGTAAACCAAAATCAAACATTTATCTTCAGGTTAACTATGATGTTATTTATTGCTTTTGATGATAAAATATCCTGTTATTTCTCTTAATAATAATTAGATACCTTCCCTGGCAGCTATGCCACTGACTAATAAAACATTAGGAAAATTCATAAATGATATTTGAAGGATCTTGGTTGCAAAAAGTGTGGATACCCTTGTATTTATAGTTTTGAGTAAAATCACTCTGGATATGAAGTGATGTTTATTGAATACATAGTATGTGCAAGGCATTATGGAAGGCAATTTATGCATATTAGTGCATGTAACTCTTGCCTGTTTTTACCCCCTTCAATACTAGAGATGGAACCCAGAGCCTTGCACAAGTGGTGTAGCCTAGGCAAGTGCTAGATCACCGAGCTCTAGCTCTAACTGTATGCATATAATTCTCATAACCTACAGAGTGGGCATAATCCCCATTTTATTTTATATTTCTGTTTTCTAGCTTGGTGCTCGATGATAAGTAACTAGCCTCTAGTTATATGGCAAATTATAGTGGATCAAGAATATGAATCTAGGTCCTGATAATGCTAATGCTCTCTGCACCAAAGAATTCTAGCTGCTTCATGTAAATTTTTCATAGTTCTGTAGTTTAGTCTCTAAATATTGACATGTTTGTACTGTTAATTATCAACAAAACTCTTTCTAGTTACAGTAGAAATTTTTACTAACTCAGAAATTTTCTTTAAGTCTGATCCTTACCGATTTCATTGTAACAAATTGCTTTTGCTTTAAAGAATTCTATGCTAAATAGACTCATTAAAAAGCAGTGCAGTTTTCCAAAGCAACTCTTAAAATGGTAATATATAAAACAAGTAAGATAAAAGAGCTAACTCTGTTTCTCAGAAAAAGGTAGGGGAGGTGAAAGACTTTCTGGTTTGGGGCTGTAGGTATCTGTGTGGGGGCTATTTCTAGTACTAACCAAGTTTCTGAAACAATAGCTTTTGTTATAAAAATGTATCTGTAAGTGCATCCAGAAAAGAAGCACAGCATAAGAGAAGGATTCTAGGTTTTAAAGTTAGATTTGAATGAAAAAGAACCTAGTTCTGTTCCAACTAGTTCTGTTCCAACCTAGCATATGACCTTGAGCACATTACTGAGTCTATACTCTGCTTTTTCAGTATAAAATGAAAGTAATGACATATCTCAGAAATGATGAAATTATATAAGTAAAATCTTATTGGTCAGAAACTATTTTAGTGTCTAGTCCATAGTAAACACTTAATATAGATAGTTACTTGTAGTTATTGTTTTAAATGCCTCGTTTTTCCTCTAATATCTGAGATTTTTCTTTTTTAATATTTATTTTTTAGTTGTAGTTGGACACAATATCTTTCTTTCTTTCTTTCTTTCTTTCTTTCTTTATTTATATGTGGTGTTGGGGATCGAACCCAGGGCCTCACCTGTGCTAGGCGAGTGTTCTACTGCTGAGCCATAACCACAGCCTCACACCTTTCCTTTTTGAAAGAATGTGTATAACCTATGAAAACAGGGGCCATGTTTTGTCCTTTTTACCTCACATAGTGCTTGATGTGTAGTATTTGTTTAGTTAGTACATTCATTTCCACATTTATTCAACAAACTTAGGCAGCATGGAGTGGTTTGCAGAAAGGAATTAGCTGGAAGAGGAAGAGTTGATTTCAGGCCATGATGGATGGATTTGATTGCCATTCCTCTCCCCCCCAAAAACCAGACGAGTGGTTATGCAGGGGAGGCATGGTGACAAGAAGTGACCATGAGGTGCTGGTTAAATTGTTTTTTTACGGAGTACTAGTTATATGAATATGTTCATATTGTGAAAATGAAGTAAGGTGTATTCTTAGTACAAATGCTTTTCTATATGCATATTATACTTTGATCAGAAGTTTTAAAAAGTGCTGTGGGAAAAAATTAACAAAGATTAATTCTAGGGCTGAGGATATAGTTCAATTGGTAGAGTGTTTGCCTTGCATGCACAAAGGCCTGAGTTCGATCTTGATCCCCACACCACAAAAAAAAAAAAAAAAATTAATTCTAGCTGAGGGCCTGAGGGAAGAAGACTTGATAGATAGTAGCCTCGGAATGTTTAGGTGTACTCAGATGGTGAGTGGGAGCATTTCAGAATGGAACTGCCTGGGCAAAAGCAGTGAAATAGTCACATCTGGCCAGAACTTATTGTATAAGTAAAAATGAGGCTGGGAAAGTAGTTAGAGACAGACTGTGAAAGACCTTGAATGCCAAGAGAAGAAATTTGGACTTGATTTTCTAGAAAGCCTAGATGGTCTTTTAAATCCAATAGTGACCTGGTAAGTGTTATAGAATGGTTAACATGGTGAGTAATTTTTATATTTTCATTCTCTGTGCATTAACGAGATGACGCCTAGACTCATTCATAATTGTTAATTCAAATCTTGTCCTGAATGAAAAAAAAATCAGCTATTTCACCTCATTGCTTTCACCACCTGTCTTGTTCTGCCCAATGCATGTTCTTTCTTCCTTCTTTTGCCAAAAACAAAATAAAAAACCAACATTCAGCCTAACCTTGAAGTTTCTCTGATGCATCTTTTAAGGAGGCCAACCATCAGTATCTTTTTCATTATAGGCAAGAAGAGAGGCGGAGGCGGTCCTTCCAGGATTACACTGGGCAGAAGATCACTCTTGAGGCAGTCCTGAACACTACCTGCAAGAAGTGTGGCTGTAAAGGTAAGGTGAAGCCTCTGCCATTTCTATATTTCTCTCCTTGTGGATGAAGACCATAGCCCAGTGGTTGTTTAATTTACCCTGTTTTAGCCAACTGTGCATGCTTTTATTCCTGCCAGATTTACATCTGAGTGTGTGGCTTGATGCTTTTTCTGTTTACCTTTCTGAATGCTGGCCCTGTGAGATACTCTCATTTTGTACCCACCACTCCACAGCTGATGTTCCTGCCTGACTGGGCAAGGTTCCTTTTTACTATGCCAAGAGGGGCAAGAGTGTTTGATTACGGTTTATACTTTAAAATTTAATCTCCAAGAACAATTATTGTTCTGCAAAAATTAAGTGATTTGGAAATACATTCCTTTAGGATCCAAGTTAAACTCTTTCATCTTTATTTCTTTAACTAAAAAGTTCTGAATACAATATCTTTTAGTAATAAAGAATATAGGATAGTCACTTCCTTTTAGCTCTATTTCCTCAGGTTTCTTCTAGTCTTACTCAAATATTAAAAAGCTCTTTCAGCCTGACTTCCCTTGTTGGAGCTATAATGAGAAGGCCTGCCAGCTTCTCATTTTCAGAGTGACCTCAATTTGTCACCTCTTCTCCCTAGCCCTCCATCTAGGCTTCTTTGTTTATCTTTCTACAACTAGTAGCAGATTTGTGCCCTTGTTGAAGTTGTGGGGTTTAAGCCCCTATTTATTATTAGCATAGAGGGAAGAAGGGAAAAGTAAAATTGAGAGAAAGAATACCTCCTCAGGGGAATTATGGAGACATTCCAAATATTTGGAAAACTCTGTACTATATTCCTTTTCCAGGCACCATCAAGTTTCTGGACCTAGCAGTGCTTGTGTACATAGCTTTTTTTTTTTTTTTTTTTTTTAGTTGTAGATGGACACGATACCTTTATTTATTTTTATGTGGTTCTGAGGACCGAACTTAGGGCCTCACACGTGCAAGATGCATGCTCTACCACGGAGCCACAATCCCAGCCCCAACATAACTTTTTAATTATCTCATGAAGTTCCTCTGTGGCCCTGAAACAGGATCCACCAGAAGTTTAACAAAACTATCTGTGTAGGACAGAGCATCTGTTAACAGTCCCTCAACAGCACCGAAGGCTCAGGAAGAGTGGAATCTCCTACCTTCAACTTGTATACACCAGGCATCACGTTAAAGCAGAAAAGAATACAGAGAGGTGGAATTTGTCCCAGTCAGCAAAGATCAGGCCAAAGGTTGTTGGTTTGGGTGCAGCAAAAAGAGCACAGGGCAGAGAGGCATGGGACCTGTAAGAAGTTTTAGCTCTGCGGCTATCTGTGTGACCTTGAGCTACTTCTTTTTTTTTTTTTTTAATAGAAAAGAAAAAGTATATTTCTTTACAATAAAAAAATAAAATTTGAACAAATAGTCAAATTTTATAAAAATACATAACTGAAAGGAAGCATATGACTATAAACTACATATTTAGCTGAAACTAAATCCAGTTCTTATAAGAATTTCAGAATATAAATCATAAATCCATAGCTTATCCAGAAGCTCGTCAGAATCTGCAAGTTCAAAGGAAAGGACAGTGGTTTCAGCTGCAGGGTGGCCTGTCAGACCGCAGTTGCACTATTTTCCCTTCAGTTCTTCATGGTGTAGATGTATTAGTCATGAAGGAATATGCTGTACTGGAAGTTTCTGGAAAGGGAGACCAAAGCCACATGGTGATATGATTGCTTCAGAGCAAGAGGGTCACTAAGGAGGGTCCTGGCCAGGTGATTTCTAGAAGCCTTCTTCCTTGGTCTAGGACTCCACTTCATCATCGTCACTTCCTTCATCGTCCTCATCCTCCTCCTCCTTCTCTTTAAGCATTTTCAAGTACTTACTAGCTAAAATCTTCTTTGGTAATATATCTGCAAGAAACTGAAAAGTGTCTGATTCCTCTGCAGTATTCGCTAAGTCATTATAAGTCAGTGCTTTCTTTTCTTTTCCACTCTCATGTCTGTAGGAATAGGTGGCTAAGTACTGAACAAAGAGCTCCGTGGCTTTGGCCGTGAGCACCAGTGCTTCCTGGTTGATGCTGGACACCTCGGGGGAGCTCTTCATGATGACCCGGATGCGAGACAGGGGCAGCGACATGAGCCGCTGCTCCCCACACTTGTCCTTGCCCACGGCCACGTCCGCCATCTTTCCGCTGCCCCTTGAGCTACTTCTTAACTGTAGGCTCTCCCAGTCTGCAAATTCAGGATGTTGGATTTGATGATGTCTAAGGCCCTTGCCAGGCCTGACAATCTGTGAATGTTGAGTGCCTCTAGGTGACTGTGCCTGCCTCTCTGTGTATTAGCTTGGATGTGAGTGCCCACTTCCTGCCAGCTTTCTTCCTTTAAGGCTTGGCCTGCCACTCAGCTCCCTCTGATCAGCATCCTGCTCTCTGGAGCAGCCTTTTATTGTCAGGAATAACTTCCCAAACTGATCTTTAAAAATGAATAAGCCCAATGGAGGGCAGCCCAAGCCTGCATCCTCATATACTCTGCCATTTCCAAAGCAGCACCAGTGTTTCCTGTGGCTCTTAAGGTCGACTGCTTATTTGGCTGTGGTTGATTGAACAAAGCCATCTTGAGGTGACAGAAAATTTTCTCTGAACTGACTCAATAATATCTCCTGAACCACTGAGTTCCTATCAAGACCCTCTGGGGAAGATCCACCTGCTTAGAGGAGAGACTCTTTCTCCCTCTCTACCTTTTCTACTTTTCTTCTTCAGGTCACTTTGCAAAAGATTGCTTCATGCAACCAGGTGGGACCAAATATTCTCTGATACCTGATGAGGAAGAGGAGAAAGAAGAGACAAAGTCAGCAGAATTTGAGAAACCTGATTCCATGAGGAATTCTTCCCGGAAAAGAAAGAAGGTGAGTGCTTTCTTGCTTGTATTTATCATACTTTTTCAAGTTTTAAAATGAAATTGTACTTTTTGCAGAAATTTTAGAAATACTGAAAAACAAAGAAAATCGAGGATCTCCAGTAATCTTTCTACTCAGAAAGACATTTTTTAGTATTTTTAGTATTTTCTAATCTTTTTTAGGTCATAATAAGTATATACATGCATATATGTATGTACATAAGTGCGTTTATACATGGAAACAGAATTATGGTCAAACTAGGTAAAGTTTATACTCCAATTTTTTCATCTTATTCTCAAGTTTTTATGTATGTATGTATTTATTTTTAGTTGTTGTTGGACACATGCCATTATTTTATTTATTTTTATGTGGTGCTGAGGATCGAACCCAGCGCCTTGCACATGATAGGCAAGTGCTCTGCCACTGAGCCACAACCCCAGCCCTTACTTTCTAGTTTTAATTGTTCTTCAAAAACTTGATGTAAGAGCAACACAGTATTCTACCTCATGGCTATATGATTATTAATTTGCTTTGTGATTACTGAATATTTTTTATTACTTACAATCTAAATTTTTGTCTACATCTCATACTATTTTCTAAGCATAGATTCTGAAGTAAGATTACTGAGTTAAGACTTTATACATTTTAAAAATTGCCTTCTAGAAAGTACCTATATGTCCCCAGTAGTGTAAAACATTATCTGTCTTCACCAAGTTCTGTCTCTTTGTCTACTACTTAGAGCAGAGACCAATTTATAAAACAGACTGTATTGTAGTTCAGAAAGAAACCATGCATCAATAGCATACTTCACAGAAAGGAAACAAACTCTGCTATAGTTTGATCAGAAAATGGTACACTATGATTTTCCTTTCAGTACTGGGAATTGAACCCAGGGGCACTTTACAATTAAGCTACATCCCCAATCCTTTTTTTCCCCCTGTGATACCAGAGATTGAACCTAGGAGCGTTTAACTACTGAGCCACATCCCTAGCCCTTTTTATTTTTTATTTTGAGACAGGGTCTTGCTAAGTTGCTTAAGCCCTCAACCTCCTGAGCCACTGGAATTACAGGCTTGCACCACTGCACCCGGCCATCCCCAATCTTTTTATGTTTTATTTTGAGACAGGGCCTCACTAAGTTGCTGAGGCTGGCCCAGAACTTTGGATCATCCTGCCTCAGCCTCTTGGGTCACTGCAGTTATAGGCATGTCCCACCACATGGTGGCCCACAGTGCTCATGTAGGATTTTTCTGTGACCAATTATTTAGTTTCTAGATCTTTGGCACTTTTATTGAATGATAATTTTGTGCCAGGCATTGCAGACTCTAGTAATACAACGACTATGGTGAAATCCTTGCACTTGGTGGGCATTATCTACAAATTAAGTATTATCTTTATTTTTGAGGGGGTGGGGGGTACTAGGGATTGAACTCAGGGGCACTTGAACACTGAGCCACATCCCCAGCCCTATTTTGTATTTTATTTAGAGACAGGGTCTCACTGAATTGCTTAGCACCCACTATTGCTGAGGCTGGCTTTGAACTTGTGATCCTCCTGCCTCAGCCTCCCAAGCCGCTGGGATTATAGTCAGGTGCCACCATGCCCTGGTATACTATCTTCATTTCTTATTGTTTTTTTTTTTTTGTTTGTTTGTTTGTTTGGTTTTTGGTTTTTGGTTTTGGGTACCTGGGATTGAACTCAGGGCACTCGACCACTGAACCACATTCCCAGCCCTATTTTATATTTTATTTAGAGACAGGGTTTCACTGATTTGCTTAGTGTCTCGTTTTTGCTGAGGCTGGCTTTGAACTCAGATCCTCCTGTCTTAGCCTTCTGACCCATTGGGATTACAGGTGTGTCCCACCTCACTCAGCACTAACAAGTATTTTCTAATTAATGCTATCATGACTACCTTAATCTCTTCTTTACCTCCTCCCCACTGCCCCCACCAAAACCTTTTCTATCCTTCAATATGATATTACTTGTTTTAATGGCAGCAATACCTTTCCAGTTTCCCAAGAAAGAAACCTCCTCTTCTCATTTTTATCCTACATCTAGTCAGTCACCAAGTCCTGCCAGGGGCACATTTTAAATTGCCTCTCTGTTTCTCCCTCCTACTTCCACTACTACTTTATATTTTATCTCCTTACATATTTTGCATTCAGACTATGCAAAAATTTACCATCTTAACTTTTTTTTGGTAGTCCTAGGAATCAAAACCAGGGCCTCACACATGCTGGGTGAATACTTACCACTGAGCTATACTCCCAGCCCCCATCTTAACTATTTTTAAATACATAATTTAGTACTGTAAAATATATTCACGATAGCATTCCTTGCACAAATAATTATAATTTGATGAAGTGCAAGAGACCTTTTTTTTTTCTTTCATTGCCTTTGTTTTTGGTGTCATACTCAAAAAACCATTGCCAGGTCATGTCATGAAACATTTCCCCTATTTTTCTTCAGAGAGTAATATATTTAGGATTTTGATTTATTCTGAGTTAATTTTCATATTGATTTAAAAGAAGAGTACAAAAAATGATTTTTTTCTTTTGGTATTGAGGATTCATTCTAGGGATGCTTTACCACTGATCCACATACCCATTCCTTTAAATTATTTTGAGACAGGGTTTTGCTGAGTTGCTAAGGGTCTTGCTAAATTGTGAGTCTAACCTGGAACATACAATCCTCCTGCCTCAGCCTCCTGAGTTGCTAGTTGCACATGCCACTGTGCCCAACTGGTCCAAAAGTTTTTTTGCATGTAGATATCCAGTTTTCTTAAGACCATCTATTAAAAAGACTACCCTTTTCCCATTGAATGATCTTGGCTCCCTCATCAAAAATCATTTGACCATATATATGAGGATTTTTCTGGTGTCTTATTTCTTTTTTTTTTTGGGGGGGGGGTCTTATTTCTATTCTGTGAGTCTCTGTGCCTATTCTTATGCCAGTACCCAATGTTTCAATTACTTTAGCTTTATATAGTAAGGAAATGTGAATCTTCCAACTTTGTTCCTCATTTTCAAGATCATTTTGACTATACAGGGTCCTTTGTGATCTGTATGAATTTTTTCTGTTTCACACTCACATACACACAGAAATCATTGAGATTTTGATAGGCGTTGCAGTGTGTGAAGTGTCAAACAGCTAGTGATCTGTAGATCACTTTGGGTAGGAGGAACATATGGACATCCCTTCTCCCCTCCTCCATACTGAGGATTGAACCCAGGGCCTTGTGCATGCTTGGTAAGAGCTCTTTCACTGAGCTACATATGTATCCCCTGAATAAACATCTTAACCATATCAAGTCTTCCATTTGGGCCTTTAAATTAATTATTTTCTTATTTATTTCATTATGGTGCTGGGGATCAAATACAGGGTCTTGCACGTTAAGCACATGCTTTACCACTGAATTACACCCCTCACCCTTGTGTCTTTAATGTCTTTCAGTAACATTTTGTAGTTTTCAGTATACAAGTCTTTCACCTCCAGCTGTTAGGTGCTGCCTTTAACATAGACAGGACTAAAAACATCTGCTTTGGGACTCAGCCTGAGTCATGTCCAGGTGCTACCACCTATGCCAGTTGCTTCATCTCAGTCATCCTTATTGAGGTTACAATTTCTTTTCCTGATAATTATGCCCACCTGGTAAATTTGTTGATGAAGGTTTAAATGAGATATATGTGCAAAGTACCCAACCCAGCATCTAGAAAATTATATACTGTATAAATGCTTACTGCTGTTATTCCCCTTTCTCAGTCTTTGCTTTTATTTATTTTATTTTATTATTTTATTTTTTAGTTTTTAGATGGACACAATATCTTTATTTTTTATTTTATTTTTATGTGGTGTTGAGGATTGAACCCAGCGCCCCACACATGCCAGGCGAGCGCGCTACCGCTTGAGCCACATCCCCAGCCCTTTGCTTTTATTTTTGTTTTTCTCTCACACTGGGCTGTTGCTCTCCTGTTTCAAGACTATAGAGGAAATGCTCTGGTAACCAGTATGTGGTTTTTACCTCGAGAGAGTCTCAGAGATGTTTGAGCAGTGGCTTCTTTCCAGTGCTTCCTACTTGTCAGCTGTGGACTCACACACCCTTTATCTTTTTTTTTTTTTTTTAGACAGGGTCTTACTAAATTTCCCATTTTGGCTTCAAATTTGCCATCTTTCTACCTCATCCATCCAAATAACTGGAATTACAGACCTGTAAGACCATGCTCAGCTTACTCTTTATTCTCTGTTCCCCTTTGTACTTGAATGCAGTCCAGGACCAGAAGCAGCTTTTAGCCCTCTAGGTCTTCCCCCACCAAACTCTCAACTTTCCTGCTAAACTCCAGCTTCTGAAGTAACTGTTCTTTTGTTCTTCTCTTGCTTAGGGATGACTAGTGAAAAAGACACCAGTTGCTGGAGCCTTGGTTGTCTTGTTCAGGCTGCAAAAGCATTTTGGCATTGAGACTGAGGTCTAGGAGAAGACCATCTCCCCAGTCTTCACTAGCTAGAGCCTGTGTTCCAGCTTGCCAGGGTTCTCTAGTGATTCTTCCCTTCTCAACTGGTGTCCTTGAGAGTAAAGTAGAAATACTGTCGAACTCTGTTAGAAAAGACAATGTTCTTGTTGCTTTAGCCTTGGTGAACTCATTTTACTTCTCTGAGTTGCAGTTTTTCCATCTGTAAAATGAGAATAATAATTCATGAGTTTTATCTGAAGATAGTGGCATGCACTTAAAATTCTAGCTACTTGTGAGGCTGAGGCAGGAGAATTGCCAGTTATAAAGTCCAGCCTGGGTAACATATTGAGACACCATCTCAAAAAAAAATCATTTATTTTGACCCCGGCAGATGATGATGATGATGATGATTAGAAACTAAAAACTTTGAAACAAGCTGTATGCAGTGGTGCACACCTATAATCCCAGTGACTTAGAAGGCCAGAGCAGGAGGACTGCAAGTTTGAGGCCAGCTTCAGCAACTTAGCAAGGCCCAATTTCAAAATAAAAAATAAAAATGGCTGAGGATGTAGCTCAATGGTAGAGTGCCTCTGGGTTCAATCCCCAGAACCATAAGAGGGAAAAAGCAAACAAAAACAAAAAACTTGAAGCTGGTAGTGCTTTTTAACAAGACAGTATTATTATTTCCTTACCCAGACTGGGCCAGGCTTAGAGGGAATTGGTGCCAGACTGTATTTACTTACTTACTTGCCCAGGACCCTACCCTACATAAGGAGCAGACACTCGTGAGACTCCCAAGCCCATACTATCCTATGATGGACTCGTGTGGTCTTGCCATCCAGGAAGGTGCAGCACCATAAGCCAAACCATCAGATGGCTAAATCTCAGCTCTTCCCAGCCATGCTTGTTATAGTGGGTCCAGGGAGCTTTGTAAGTACTCACTACTCCATTGGAGTTACCAAGAAAGAGTTTTGATTTAACCTCTTTTTACAACTTGACTCATCTGCTATAATCACTTGGTCAGACTATAAGAACATTCTGGTAGTTCTCTGAAATAAGAGAAAAATAATTCTATAGCTTGGTGGTAAAGCACTTGTGTAGCATGTGCAAAGGCCATGTGCTTGATCCTCAGCACTGAAAAACACACTGCTGGTTACCTAGGCATAACAAATCAGGCACAGGCACTATAGTTAGAGTTTATTTAATTCTTATTCAAGATACTTATTATTTCTAATTCACTGAAAACTGAGATTCAATTCAAGTGACATAGTAAGTGGCAGAGCTAAAATTTGAATTTAATTCTTACTTTAAAATCATTCATCATACCATGATGCCTCCCATAATTCTATAGGAAGAGGGGTCCTTGTGCTACACATAGGATAACTCAGGAGATTTTCATTCACATCATCCATATGCATATCCCATTCCTGCCTTTGTGATCTGGGACAAGTGGTTTCCAACTTCTCAAAGCCATAGATAACTGTCTCATTAAATCACCACATCCATGTGACATAAGTACTGTTCTTACCTGTTTTCCATTTGCAGAGGCTGGGCCTCAGTGAGGTGAGATGACTGGCCAAGGTTACAGAATACTAACTTCTTGGGTCTAGGTTGAACACCTAGTTCACTGTGATCTCACAGCCAGCTTCTCTCAGGACGTTGTTTGGAAGCCTGCAAGAGGAGCAGTGGCTTCACCCTTTTCTGTATTCTCCCTTTTTTCCTCCCATGGTCTCTTCCACTTTTAGAAACCTTAATAAGGTGCTGGGTGCAGTAGAGCATGCCTGTAATCCCAGTACTCACTTTGAAGGCTGAGGCAGGAGAATCGAAAGTTCAAAGCCAGCCTTAGCAACTTAGTGAGGCCCTAAGCAAATCAGTGAGACCCTGTCTCTAAATAAAAAAAGATTGGGGATGTAGCTCAGTGGTTAAGTGCCCCTGGGTTCAATCCCTGGTACAAAAAGGGGGTTGTGGGGGCAGATGGGGATAATAAAATATAAAAAAAGATTTGGGGATGTAGCTCAATGGTAAAGTGTCCCTGGGTTCAATCTCCAGTACTAAAAAAAAAAAAAAAACTTTACTAAAGGAAAAGACATAGGTAATGCTTAAATTGCTTCAACTTCCCTATAGAAGCCTAGGAGCCTGCTTTCCATCTCTGGTGTGGATTTGTACTGGTTACTCTTGGCAGCATGGTGTGTACGGGGGAAGAGGGGTGGGGTGGGGGGTCTAGTTTAGGGACAGTTCTTTATCAGTATACTCTTGCAAGGTTGTTGTGAAAGTTAAACATGATAGATATTCAAGGAGAGCAGGCAGAAGCTCCTTGATGGCAGGGATTTTTTTTTTTTCTTGGCAACAGAGTCTAACAGAAAACAGACTGGGAGACAACTCTTTTTTTTTTTTTTTTTTTTAAAGAGAGAGTGTGAGAGAGGGAGAAGAGAGAAAGAGAGAATTTTTCAATATTTATTTTCTAGTTTTCGGCGGACACAACATCTTTGTTTGTATGTGGTGCTGAGGATCGAACCCGGGCCGCACGCATGCCAGGCGAGCGTGCTACCGCTTGAGCCACATCCCCAGCCCTGGGAGACAACTCTTAATAAATCTTTTATTTTGTGATATTAGGTGAATCACTGTCTCTAGATAGACTAGGTAATCTCTAGAGATCTCTTTCAGTTCTAATATCCTCTACTTTTTTAAAAATTGAAGTAATAGAGCCAGGCATGGAGGTACATGTCATTATCCCATTAGGAGGCTGAGGCTGCAGGATTGCAAGTTAGAGGACAGCCTGGGCACTTTATCAAGACCCAAAATAAAAAGGCTGGGGAAATAGCTCAGTGGTGGAGCATGTGCCTACCATGCATGAGGCCCAGGGTTAAATTCCCAGTACTGAAAGAAAGAAAAGGAAGTGATAGATGGTTGTTTTTTTTTTAACCAAAAAATAAAGGAACTCCGTCCTCCCCCCACTTGAGTTCATTCCTGAAATAACCAGTGTTACCAGTTGTGGGGTCTTTTCCAGTGTTTTCTGTGTATACTGGATATATGTATGATGTATAAATGTGCACATGTAGTGCAACATAGTGGCACATGCCTGCAATCCCAGCTACTCAGGAGGCTGAGGCAGGAGGAGCACAAGTTTGAGACCAGCCTAGGCAATTTAGTGAGAGCCTGTCTCAAAATAAAAAGGACTGGGGATATAGCCTCGCCATAGATTGATCCTGGGTTCAATCCCCAGTACCACAAAAATATAAAAAAAAAACTTAAAAATAAACATATGTATGTTTTATATATACTGGAATTTATAATAGATATTGTATTGTCTTGGTTCTTTCACTTGTTTTGGCTATTTTTTTACTTAATTGCTTTTATTTATTGTCTTCTAACTTATTAAATAGCTTCCTTCATTACCAGCTGTGAGTTTTTTTTTAAAGCAAATATACACGCACAATATTGAATTTAAAATTTTTCTTTTTAGGAAAAGAAGAAAAAGAAACACAGAGACAAGAAGTCATCTGACTCCGACAGCTCAGACTCTGAGAGTGATACAGGCAAGAGAGCAAAGCACACATCAAAAGACAGCAAGGCGGCCAAGAAGAAGAAAAAGAAGAAGAAGCATAAGAAGAAGCACAAGGAATGAGAATAGAAAAGAGGACGGGTGGTTGAGAGAATAAGGAACCAGGAGTTTTGTGCCTTGAACTCTGGCTCCTGAAAAGACTCAATAGTGAGAATATTGCCTCCCACCCCGTTGACATCTATGGGAATGCAGCAAGCAGGTTTGGGAGTTACAGGTCAGAAGCAGCCGCCTGAATGAGTTCTTTCTTTACTGCTTCTGATCCCTTAGCAGTTGACCCCTGAGGCCCACCCATTCATTCACCCTATTTTTTTTTCATTCAGCAGGAGGTCTGTTTATCCTCCTCAGCTACCACTGCCAGAGCTGGATTCCTTTATAGGAGTCAAGGCTAAAGCCACAAGTACTGCTATGGAGGTGAGAGCCTGGCTGTATCTGAACAGTGACTGGTGCCTTCCCGTTGTCTGTCTTGAACTGGGCGATGAGTTAGTTTATGCTGCCTACGGGGAAGCAGAGGGAAACTGGCAGCAAGAGGGAGAACGTGGTAAGAAGTGGTGCTCACTTTTTCCATTCCCTAGTATGGTTCTACTAAGCTAGAAGTGACAGCCAGTGACCACAGCCATAAAACAGTCATTTGCAGTTTGACTTATCTTGTATATGACATTCCAACAGACCACTGAACCAGACATATGAAGCCAAGGTGATTGCTCTACTTTCTATTTATTACTGTATGATTTGGCTAGTTCCACTTCAGGTCTCTGCTTAAATTCCTGGCACTAAATGGAAATGTGTTTGGTTTGAAACCTGCTCAAAGTTCTTATTCTTATAATCCTTCTTCTTGGTTAACATAACAGATTTAAAGTCAACTGAATCTGCATTAGTTGATAGAAAAACATTTAATATGTTCCCTTAGACCTTGGAGAGAAGCCTAGCCAAGGGCTGGTACAAAGCTAGAGGTACTAGCAGGCCACAGCTTTCTTAGATGATCACTTATAAACCCTTCTGTAATGATCAGATGATCTATTTTCCCAGAGTTGATTAGAGAACCAGTAAGAATTTATAACCTTGAGTACTAGCCTGGTGCATAATGAGAACTTAGGCAGTCATCTTGGCCATTGGTCATCTTCTCCCACAGTAGCCCAAGCCTGGATCCTGTGATCTTGTACTCTGGGAAGGGAGAAACCACAGCATCCCACAAAAAGCCAGGCAAAAGAAAGTACTCAGTGCAGTATGGGCCAGGGGTGACAGTTCAGTGGTCAACGCTCCAATGACTGGAATAGGTGACTTGACCCAGGGAGGAGCAATGTCAAGGCAAGATGTAGGTGCAGCTATCATCATTGAATGTCCCTGACATTGTCCATTTTAGCTTTGCATCCAGTGTTTCAAGTGACCTTAAAGCAGTTATTTCTGCCCATTGACACCTGGGGAAACTTAGACTCCCAGAACCACATCACCAGAGGCAACTGCATGGCCTCTGCTCTGCTTTATTGACTTCAGAGCATATTGGATACAGTTTAAAAAAAAGAAAAGAAACACATACATACACAATGGAAACTGGGGATCCAGGCTGGTGTCACCTGATCCCAGAAGAATTCTCCAAAGTAGGTTTATACAAAATGCCAGAGGAAAAAAATGAGGCAATGTGGTGTTGAGTCCAGGGGTGGCCAGTTGACAGAGGAACAGTCAGTGACAGTGCTGGTGAGTCATGCCTCTTTCTCGTAAGTGCGAGTGCACACTACACTGCCATGGGTGAGTGTCTGGAAAGAAAGATGAGAGTCAGACAGGAGAAGACCTCTATCTTCTTAAAAGAAGATACAATTTGTTTCTCTTTTTCTTACATCATTCAGCTTCCTTCATCCTTATGGGTAAGATGGTGCCTGGCACATAGTAGATAAATAGGTGAATAAAAATGACCAGAGATACTTGAGGAATGGCTGTGCTAAGCTACCAACTCTCCATTCTTCCCCTAAGTTCCCTAAGTTGGGGCAGGGCCAGATCCCCACCAGTCTGGTGTCATAGAGGCAAGCCCATGGCCTCACAATAGTCTGAACAGCCAGTGAGTATTTGGTCCTGTATGTGCTATTCCCACCAAAGCTAGGAACTTCATTCCTAACTCTGAATTCAAGAATGACCCCATGTTGAGTGCAAGAACGAAGGTAGCAAGTTATGCTCCCCAGGAAGGTCTGCAGTGAAGATGCTGAGGTAAGAACCTGAGGCCCTGCAGAGTTAGAAGGTAGAGATCCCAGTGGCTGCTATCTGTGCCCGGAATCTGGGGGAAGAGTTCCCTCAAGGGTACATTCTCCAAGTGAAGCCCCCAAGCTTGTCTAAACAGATCTGCCAGCCATTTTTGCTACTTTCTACCCAGGCAATAATCAGGTACTTGCAGGAGTCCAGACCTAGAACTAACTCTAAGAGGAGGTCTTACTGGAATGGGGAAGAAAGGGTTGTGCTGTCCATCAGTGCCCCCACCAGTCACCAGGCTGCCCCTGCATGTGACAGCATAACACTAGAGAGGAGAGGGAAGGAAATGCTTTGATAGGAAATGGGAGTCTATCCTGGAGAGCCTGGAATCAAATTGGCCCTGCTTCCCATCTCCTCTTGGGCTATGGAGCATCTGCTATCTTCCTCCCTCCCGATGAGGGTTTCTGCTGTGCGTACCCAGTCTCTTTCAGACTTCCCAGAAACACTAAAAGGTAGGTGGTTATTAATACCCACTTTATCGTTGCACTTGGAGAAGGTGACTTGTCCAAGTCATGTAGCCTATAAACAGATTTAAACCCAGACCTTTTGAGTCCAAAGCTGTGACCTTTCTTCTGCCTCTCCTATCCCAGCTTTGATGGCTCCTGGGGATGACCTTGGCTTTTTACAGGTTAGTAATCAGTTAGCTAAGGCTCCACACTTGCCCATCTTACCAAGATGAGTTTCCCATCATTTAGCTCCCGCACAAGTGTAGTCTCTTGCCCGTCCCACTTCTGCACGTGGACAAGTTTTCCTCCATCCAGCGTCACAGTGGACTGTGGAAAAAGGGTAGAGGCCTGAGCAGTGATCTGAGCCAGGACTGAAGAACAGGATAAGAAAGGGAAAGAGAAAGAAAAGCACTTATCCTGTTTGCTATGTGATGTCCACAACCTTGCTTCCTCCAAGATACAGAAGACATGTACCTGTCCATATTCCTGACAAAGACTGGCTGAGGAGGAGGAGTTCTGAGGACCTCTTTCTCGTCGTGGTCATCACAGTGCCTAAAATACCCTTAGATGGGGAGTATTAGGCTTCCCTCTTCTCTTCTCAGTCCACATCATGTGATCCCTTTCAGCTGACAAGAGGGCAGCAACTACAAGGTCCTAGGACTGGTTGTCCTTGGAGTGTTCCTCAGCCCTGGCTCAAAGGCCCACTTAGTCCTCTGGGTGCTGCCAGCCTGCATCAGCTGGTTCTCATTTGGCAACTTTCCCAGGTCTCTCTTCTCTAGGAATTTGGGGGCTATAGTCCAGACTTGGAAACCTTGCTGAGCAAGATTCAGCAGGAGATGAGAAGGTCATATTTATGTGTTTGGGTTGCTTCTATCTTGCTGTGCTGTCTGTAGCCCACCTTACTCCTCATTTTCATCCCTCCTGAGTATTTTGCCCACTCAGAGCAGATTATTTTTGACCCTCACATTCACATCCCTGTGTTTGAATGGGGTTTTTGCCCCTCAAGAATATGGCAAGCTTAAGGAGGTAGGGATGTGGTATGTGGTGGGGCCATGACCTTCCAAGGTCAGCTTCTTTCTTAGGGCAACATCCCCTGCTCCGCTGCCAGCCTGCTGTGCAATCCTGCACTGGGCTTTAACTCCTCTCCCTTTGCAAGGAAAACAGCCCCTACCCTGTTCTTCCTGTAGGCAACTGTGAGAAAGAGAAAACAGCTGAAAAGTTGTGTTTTAGGGTACTGGTGAAGAGGACACTGCTGTAGAGCCCTAGAAGTCGGAGCCCCTTATTTCTCTCCCATGCCTGGTCCAGAGCTAGGAATCCTGAGGCAAGCTGCTAAGACAAAACCATCATGGGGTAACAGAGACCTGAGACTGGGGGGTAGATGCTTGCTACCCACCCTCTGGAAGAGGGAGTTAAGACTGTGGGAAGACACTACAACACCCATGACAGCTGAGTGGCTACCTCAGAACACCATTCTAACTGCCTGTCAGGTGGCCACACTGGAAACACTTTCAGGGTCACTGGCCAGGCCTGGGAGTTACAGGTTGCAGAAGAGGGAACATCTGGATAGGTCTCAGTCTCTTGTTCCCAGCTGCCTGCTTAGCTGTGGAGGCCTGGACAACCTTACTAGTGGAGGGCCCTGGTTTATCCTGTGTATCAATCCCAGAGCACTTCAGATCACAGCCACGGCCACTTAATTCCTCCATCTATGGAAGGGGAAAGAAACCCAGTGCTATGGCATACCTTGCACAAGGTCACCCAGCTGGAACTGAAGGAGCACTGAGGTCAGAACATTCTGGCTCTGTGCCGCCCACTCCCAGAGGCAGCTGGTAGTTGAGTCCCAAGAAGGGAGGAAAGAAAACAAGTGGACAGAACTAATATGTATTTAGCACCTAGGACCATCCAGCACTGAACAGGCTTTATGAAACCTTGTGTCACGCAAGTTGCCTATAAGAGCCTGCCCCTTGGGGTGCAATGACAAGGGTCTCAGTACCCTTGTTCCCCATGCCCCCTTCCCTGACTCACCTTGACCTTCCTGTCATCTGCTGTAGTCTCATCAAACTCCTTCCCCAGCTGAAAACTGATCTCCGTGTTCTTGAAGGTGCTCTGTGTTTTTAAGATGATGGTGTCCCCATTCTTTTCGATGATTGTAGTGGGCTTGGTCATGCTGGCCACTTGCCTGGTAGCAAAGCCCACACCTGAGGGCCAGGGGAAGATTATGAGAATATGAGCTGCCACTGAGAGGCACTGCACAAGCTCAAAGAATGATTCTTAGACCAGGATCAACCTAAGTCTTTGTGTGGCCTTCTATGCCAGAGGCACTTGACTACTGAGCCATATCTTCAGCCTTTTTATTTTTTATTTGGGGACAGGTCCTCACTAAATTGCTAAAGCTGGTCTCAAACTTGGGATCCTCCTGCCTCAGCCTCCCAGCTCACTGGGATTACAGGTGTTGCTGCTGTATCTGTCTGCCATTATTATTTTTATTTTTTTTAATTTTTTAATATTTGTTTTTTAGTTTTCAGCAGACACAACATCTTTGTTTGTATGTGGTGCTGAGGTTCGAACCCGGGCCGCACGCATGACAGGCGAGCGCGCTACTGCTTGAGCCACATCCCCAGCCCCCATTATTATTTTTAAAAATTCAGTCTTCCTTTTAGCCGTGAAGCAGACAAATTTAACCCCAATATAAGGAACAGGCATGCCATAGAAAGACAGTGACAGAACTGAGTTTGGAATAAGGTATCAGGTAGCCAGGCCCGGTGACACACTTGTAATCCTAACTACTTGGAAGGCTGAGGCAGGACAATCACAAGTTCGAAACCAGACTAGGTAATTTAGTGAAACCTTCCAACAACTTGGCAAGACCCTGTCTTAGGGCTGGGGATGTAGCTCAGTACTAGAATACCCCAGGTTCAATCCCCAGTACCAAAAATAATAAGGTACCAAGTATACCATGTGGTAAGTACTGCTGTACCTCATTCAGTCCTTCCTGCCCCCTTGCAGGGTTGATAACAGTTACACTGTATCTCTAAAGATGTAAACACAGATGGAGTTTAAGCTCAGGATCACAAACCTGAAGTTGAAGCCTTAAATGTTTCACTACAGAGCTTACTTAT